ATCAGGACTGATTGTGAAGGTTGGAAATGTAAAGGGAGATGTTTTGTAGCAAGGAGAGGAGTGATTAACTTTCCAGTCTAGGAGCAGAGGTCCCTAGGAACATCCATGGAGAAAAGTGGAAAGCGGGACCCTACTCAGAGAAGCAGTGATGCCTGGGATGGAGGAAGACACGATGACGTGGAGAGATGGAGCAGCTGGGAACTTTAGATTCAGACAGGGATAGGGACTGTGTGCTGAAGAACGGGGATTGTGGGGACAGGCTTGCAGGGTATACCCTTTGGTTGGTTGATGATGCATGGAGGGGATTCTAACCATGGCAAGGAAACAATACACAATAAAATGAATGTAAAACTCATGTTCTCCCATATAAACTACCACATAATTCACAATAAAACACTAAAAACAGTGAATCTGATATAATATGATGAACTTGACTTAAACCTATGGATGCAGTACCTCAAAAGAGGGAACAAATCTTTATAGCAAGGATCATTCCACCCCATCCATACAGAGTAGACAGGGATAGGCAACTTGGACATTGGCTGACCAAAATAGGGCCTACAAAGGCAAGAAGTGATTGGATTACAAGCTTCCAAGAGGGAGCCTAAATCCAGAGGACATGGAGGAAGATAGAATCTCCCGAGTAACATCTAATCTGTCTGAGCGGGGCTCATGAAAGGATATTCGGACAAGTCTCTTGTGATACAATAGTGAATAATTACTATCAGGACTGATTATGATGGTTGGAAATGTAAAGGTAGATGTTCTGTAGCAATAGGAGGGAAGTGATTGACTTTGCAGTTTAGGAGGAGGTTCTTGGGACCATCAAGGGAGGAGAGCAGAGAGCGGGACCATACCCAGAGAAGCAGTGACGCTAGAAATGGAGGCAGACAGGATGACATGGAGAGCTGGAGCAGCTGGGAACTTTAGACCCAGAGAGGTAGAAGGGCTGTTTATTGGCGACCGGGGGTGGAGGCAGGCTTGCAGGTTACATCTTTTGGTGGACTGATGATGCATGGAGGGGACTGTAACCATGGCAATGAAACGATACATGATAAGATGAATGTAAAGCTAATATTCCCCAAAGTAAAGTATCACATAGTTCACAACATTAAAAAAAAACTATACCTATTAAATAAAAAGTGAGTAAAACTACGTGTAAACATAATTTTAACAAATTAATCATAATCAAAAGCTATCTTGTTGTTAAGTTTTACTTGAACCATAAATGCAACTCAGTAAACCATACTTCAACTTCCACAGAATTCAGCTGAAACTTTTATTTACTTGGGGTGGGGCACACACAAAAGAAAATCAAATGTCCTATCACAACCACTTTAAAATATTTTAGTAGTGGTGTTGGTGGTGATATGCTGTGGTGTCAGTTCCTACTCATAGTGACCCATACAGGGTTTCCGAGGCTGTAAATCTTTAAGCCTCATTTTCCGCTGCGGAACCACTGGTAGTTTCAAACTGCTGACCCTGAGGTTAGCAGCCCAACTCATAACTACTACTCTACCAGAGCTCCTTATTTTAGTAGTAGTTTGACATATTTTAGTTCTGACATTTCTTTTCCCTTTCATTTCTTGAACTGATAGCCCAGACAAAAAATCAACATTTGAATTAAACAACGTACAGTTCTTTACTGACTAGCAACAGCAGTGTGAGTGTAGTAGTAACTAACACTCACACTAACTTATTCTAAATCTTTTCATTCATTTGTTTTGTTGTTAAGTGCCATCGAGTCAGTTCTGACTTATAGCAACCCTGTATAGGGTTTCCAAGGAGTGGCTGGTAAGTTTGAACCACCAACCTTGTGGTTCAAAATAACCTTGTGGTCCAGTGCTTTATCCACAGAGCCATGCCAGGACTCCATTTATTTGCTTAGAATTCTGCATTTATATACTTTATGCCTGATAGTCATTGTCCTTCAAAAGTTAAATAAGAATTGACAGATTCCTCTTATTAATTGCAATTATTATTCTTTGCCTTTTTGCAAGGGAGAGAAAAAAATCACCTGTAGAAAGTTTCACAAAAATTTTTATATGTAAATTTAAAAATCAATTCATTTATTTCAGCCACTGAAGGGCTTCTTCATCAAGTGTTGTTGTTGATAAGTGCATCTGAGTTGGTTCAGACTCATAGCTACCCTGTAACCCTGTATAGTGTTTCAAAGGTTGTAAATCCTTGCAAGAGCAGAAAGTCTCATCTTTCTCTCATGGTGCATCTGGTGGGCTCAAATTGTTGATGTTGTGGTTTCCAGTGCTTATCCTACAGAGCCACAATGGTCCTCTTTATCAAGTAGAGCAAAGCTTTATAAAGTAAGGAAGAACCAAAAGAGCTCAGACTTTTGAAAGGGGCTTAGAATAAACAGGAGTCTCTATGAGATTTGGAATTTGTGTCCAACTGATGAGTCACTTTGTGGGCTGAGGTACTCCTGAATCAAACCATCATGTTTACAATCACCTCATATATGTGAAACCTGGAAAATATATAAGGAAGACTGGAGAAGAATTGATACATTTGAATTATGGTGCAGGTAAAAAATGTTTAAAATATTAGGACTGCCAGAAGATTGAACAAATCTCTTGGAAAAAGTACAGCTAGAATGCTCCTTAAAAGCCAGGATGGTGAGAATTCATCTGTCACACTTCAAGCATGCGGGATTATGAGGGTCATGAGGGACCAGTCCCTAGACAAGGACATCTTGCTTGGTAAAGTGGAGGGTCAGTGAAAAAGAGGAAGACACTCAAAAACATAGATTCCAACGGTGACAGTAACAATAGGCTGAAACATAACAATTGTGAGGATGGCACAGGGCCAGGCAGTGTTTTGTTCTGTTGTACACAGGGTCATTATGAATTGGAATTCACTTACCTAGTAAAAACTAACACCCAAAGCCAGTACCTTATTTCCTAAGCATCTAAAACTATGTTCCAATAATTTATAATAAAAACAAAATCCTGAGAAATTGACACATAAAACTTCATGCTACTACATATTACAATTTCTTTTGTTGTTGTTGTTGTTGTTGTTGTTGTTAAGTGCTGTCGAGTCAATTCCGCCCCAGAGCTACCCTGTTTAGGGTTTCTGAGGAGCAGATGATGAGCTTGAACCACCGACCTTTCAGTTCAAACGGCTTTGCAGTCTGGTGCATTAACCCACAGCACCACACCAGGACTCCAACTTCTTTGGGCCTCAGTAAGTAATCAATAACAGAATTAGATTACGTATTCTCTAGGGTTTGCCACTTGCCATAAAAATCTATCATTGAGTCAGATTATTTTTCAATTAAACTTCTAAGTTCTTGATTTTAAATAAAAGGTGCTGGCAAATAAGAACAATTACGCAATACTTTTAGAAATATTTAGACATAGTTCTTAGTCCTTTTGTATTTGAAATGCCTTTAACTACTTTGACTTTGTTCTTGAGTTGATTGCCCAGGTTGGATCATTCACACTAATTTTTAAATTTTTAAGCTCTTAACAGGAAAGTTACAGAATTATTTTTAAAAATAAAATCTTTGCAGTGGCTCTTACTGGTGTCAACATCACCTAACTTAATTTTACTAGTAATTATAATTGGCAACTTAAGATTTTTAACACACCATAGTATAAAACATCTCAATGTGTTTATTTTTTTAAATGTTTTCTAATGACCTAAATTCTGGTCTGTAGATCTCAAATCTGAAATTCCTTAGAAATGGTAAATGACGATACAGTGAAATATGAAAAATAGATAATTTTACTAAATTAACTAAAAAATGTAATGTAAAATGAAACTGTATCTTTATTTGAAACAATTGTAGCCTTTATGTAACAATTCTGAGTTTATAAAGGTATTTTATAAACAAAAATGATCTTGTTTTTCTAAATAATTTTGTCTCTAATTCATGACCATATCCAAAGTTCTTTGAACTATGTTTGGCACAGCGTTCACAGTAAGAATTTGTTGGGTAAGAAAATGGTAGAGGACTGCAGGAAAGGTCCAAGTGGTTGAAGAAAGGTAAGGAGGAAGAAGGCAAAAATGTATGAAGAAAAAAAAAGCCTGGGAGACTTTAAAAAACAAACAAACAGAAAAGAGAAAGAAAACCTGGGGAGAAAATGGAAGGCACCAGAGAGTTGGGAACAAAGGGAAGAGAAAACAGGGGATACAGATGAAGAAAGGAAAGGGAAGAAGAAAAAAGGAAAGTAGGAATGGGCAAAGAAGGAAGAAATAAGGCAAACACAGAAAGGTAATTTTCTGTTTGTACATGAAAATTGTTAAGTCAGTCTATATATGATTATGTAAATTTTAATATTATTTGCCAACTCCAATGAAAGTTTTGCATAAAATAATTAATTCAAAACAATTCACTTTATACACATAACACACAGATGTTCAATAAAATGAGGAATAAAAATAATAATAATATTACATCACATTTCATTACAAAATTTTCTCAAAGGCTTCATATTTTCACTCTAGAGACATGAATTTAAATTTCAAAGCAATTACTTGCTGAACACCAATAAAT